GGAGTAGTTATTTTGTGCAGACGGTGCTTTGGAGGTCCCAGAGTGGGAGCCGTCAGTTCTGCTTGGGGAAATCCAGAAAGGTTTTCCAGACCAAGTGATATCTCAGCTGAGTCTCAATGGATGAGTGTGAAGGAGTTGTCCAAGGAGTGGAGGGGAATGAAAAGGTATTCCCAGCAGGGGCGGGGGATGGGTGCAAGAAAGTCCACGGCAGGATGGAGAATGAAGACATGCTCTTGTGGGGCCAAGCCCAGGATACAGGGTGGGAAAGGGCCAGTGAAAAAGCTGGTAATATCGACAGTGGCCCGGTAGCAACGATCCAGATCTGCCGCACTACTTGGGAATTGATCTAGAAAGGGATGGAGTCGCGTAGTGGGGAGGAGCAGGGTTAAGCAGGGGAGGGACAGTGTTCGGGTGGTGTTGTCGGAGGCTCACTCTGGTGGCTGTGGGAAGAATGGGCCGGGCAAGGGGAGAGGCTGGAGGGCTGTAGGACAACACCTACCCCAGGAAGGGAAGTCACATTCTACTCGCCAGCCATCCCCGCCTCTGGCAACCAAGCTAGCTCCCTGGCAGGCCAGGACAAGTGCCCCCCAGGGCTGAGAGAGTGGACGTGACTCAACTAGTTCTTGGCTTGGAGGACAGCAGCAGTGAGCACATACCTTGTTCTCTCTGCCCACCATCGAAAGCCAGTCCACCGCACATTCAATCTAAGCAAGCCTTTGCATGTGTGTCGTACCCAGCGCATTCAACTCTAAACTCCTTTTGGCTTCTGTCTTCCCTCCCTCTAGGGACGAGCAGCATCTGACGCACAGTAGGTGCTCAGTGCGCATTTAGTGATCTGAATCAGGGATGCTTCTACAGAACCCGGGCAGTGGCACATTCACAGCTGATCCTGAATGGGACCCAGAGTACTGTGTTTCCTTTTTTTAAAAACATTTTTAAAATGTTTACTCTCTTATATTGAGAGATTGAGAGAGAGAGGGAACGGGGGAGGGGCAGAGAGAGAGGGAGACACAAAATCTGAAGCAGGCTCCAGGCTCTGAGCTGTCAGCACAG